TGGTGAAATCACATGCATTGTTGTACCAGAAACTTAAGGGTTGTTGATAGCACTAAGAGGCAGGAAATGACTTCCCTGGAGTCCTTAAAATCACATCATTTCTATAATCCTACACAATATATATATATGAACTCTATCCTTACTATGCTGTTTATCAGCCAAAATTCCTGGTTAGTCATTCCCAATATTTTACTTCCTTATTTTCTTTTAAACTCATACATTCAAAATCTCCCTGCCCATGATATTAAGGGGAAAAATACCTCTTTTAAACCCCTGAAAAATTCTCTACAAATAGTTTCAAATGCTTAGACTGACAAAAAAAAAAATCATCAGAAAGCGATGGGATTGACTATTTACCTGACCCAAATTCTGACCCTTATATAATACACTATTGTAGTAAAGGCATTAAGACTGGCTAATATGTAGATATATGATGTCAAAGTCAAGGGAGCTTGGAGTTATTAAAATTTGAATATTGTTTGTGGTTAATGGAGAAGGGTTGACTACTTGCTTGATTTGAAGCTTCAAAAGTACCATGTCTTGGTAAATCCCAGTTGTCCTCTTAAGAAGGACCAGGGTCTAATTGTCTAATTGTTCAATGACCTCCTGACTTATCATTTTCCCGATTTTCCCCCCACTCCCAATAATCTAATCCTTTAATTTTTCTGAGCTATAATGCTTTGGAGTTTATGTGTCTCCATTTTCCTGAACACTGCAATAACAACAAGGGTCTCTCATCTAATCAGAATGTAATTCAAAAACTTTACTGACATCAGATACCTACTATGTGTTAGGTATTGCTCTTAGCACTTTTTAAATATTAATTTATTTAATCATTATAACAAAAGAATGAGTTAGGAACTGTTATGATCACTACAAATGGTAAAACTAGGGATAATAGAAGTTAAATAATTTGTCCAAGGTTACACACCTAGTAACCACAAAAACCAAGATTTATACTCAGATAATTTGACTCTAAAAGATAGCAAATTACTAACACACTATTTTAAGTCTTTGCTAAAATAAGACAAAGAAGTTTTCAAGGATGCAGTAGAGAAAAGCCTTGAGAGGGGAGCCATTTAGGACTGGACTAGGAGACCTGACAAAAGCTTTCGGCTTTTTGGGGGGAGTTCTGTCTTTACCAGGTATATCAGTTAATAATGCAGATTTTTTTAAATATCTGGAGTTACTCATATGTTGATATATATGCAATTTGATATGTATGATATTTTGCTGTATTGACAGAAAACTTCAAAATTTCATATGACAAAATTGCAAAACTTAATATCATAGATATTAGATATTTTTACACTTAAAAATGTTAAATTTTATGCCAAAAAAAGAGCATTTGTGGGAAGTTTTAATTAATCACTTTATTTTGAAGAAAAGTGCTGCTGAAAATTATCATATATTACTTAGAGAAGCTTATGGCGAACATGCTCCATCTTAAGATACTTGTGAACACTGGTTTAAACGCTTTAAAAGCGATGATTTGATGCAAAAGACAAAGAACGTCCAGATCAACCAAAAACATTTGAAGACCAACAATTACAATGGATGAAGATGTGTATCAAACTCAAAAACAACTTGCAGAAAAAGTAAATATTGCTCAGCAAACAATTTCTGATCATTTACAAGCAATGGGAAATATTTTAAAGGAAGGAAAATGGGTGCCACATCAACTGAACGAAAGACAAATGGAAAACCAAAAATTCATCAGTAAAATGCTGCTTCAAGGGCAGGAAAGAAAGTCTTTTTTGCATTGAATTGTGACTGACGATGAAAAGTGGATTTATTTTGAGAATCCCGAATACACAAAATCATGAGTTGATCGAGGTCAACCATTAACATTGACTGCAAAGCCAAATCGCTTTGGAAAGAAGACAATGCTCTACATTTGGTGGGATCAGGAAGGTGTGGTGTATTACGAGTTTCTAAAACCAAGTGAAACCATTAATACTGATCGCTACTGACAACAAATAATCAATTTGAACCAAGGTTTGATCATAAAACAACCAGAATGGACCAGAAGACAGCAAAGTAATTTTGCTTCATGATGATGCACCATCAAACACTTCAAAACCAGTTAAAGACATGTTAAAAGATCTTTCCTGGGAAGTATTAACCCACCCACTGTATTCACTAGACCTTATTCCTTTGGATTACCACTTGTTCTGATCAATAGCACATGCACTTTCTGAGCAGGACTTCAAAACGTACGAAGAAGTGAAAAATTTGGTCTCTGAATGGTTTGCATCAAAACAAGAAAAGTCCTATTGGGACAGTATCCACAAATTACCTGAAAGATGGGGAAATGTGTAGCTAGCAATGGACATTTAAAGCACCTTTGATGTTTCTCTTGAAGTTATCGTATTTTCTTTGATTAAAAAATCTGCATAATTAACTGGTACATGTGGCAATACCTGATGGCAACACAGAATACTGTTCTCTGCCTGAAGCACTGCCAACAATGACCAGAATTAAATTTTTTTAATTGCACTTCGTATAGCTAAGGCAGACAAGCGTTTCAACTGTATATTTATGATCTAAGAAAATAAAGTGAAGATATTCTCTTCTAACACTCACATAAGAAGCTCATTCACTTTCTGATACAGGATTTGAGAGATACTTGCCTGGTAGTACTGTAGATATTTCAAACTCCACCATCTACCTAAGCTGGAATATGTTATCCACAATCTATATATATAAAGAGCCAGGGTCCAGAATGTCCAAAACAACTGAAGGGACCAGAGAATGCCAGGCTGAGTGTGCAGCAGGCTCAGGTGGGTGGGGACTGGTTAGCAGGAAAAGCTGTTGACCTCTCGAAGAGAGAGGTTGGTCTGATCAGCAGCTCACTCTACAGGCCTCACCAGCAGCCAAGGCATCCCCCCTTTCTCTCTCCCCTCCCCCCCAAAAAAATTCAGCATTTCTGTCCACTCACCAGCAGCCTGGGGTGGCTGCTGATCAGCCCCGCCTCTCTGACCAGGCCCATTGATAGGCCCAGAGACACTGACTGGCTTAGAACTGACCAATCAGAAACAAATCTGGGTGAACTGTGAGTAGGAGCCAATGGCTGCCTAGGGGGCAGAGCTTTTGATGCTGACTGGCATAGAAACTGACAAATCAGAACCAAATTTGGGTGAACTTTGAAGGCAGAATCTAAGGTGCTAAGGAGGGGTTTTAAGGGCAACAGCTGTTTGGTGTAAGAGGTAAGAAAGCGGTTTGGCAGTATAGTGCATATGGCTGGTTATCAGTCTAAATATAGGGATTATGTATTTTTGTCTTCCATTCCTGATGAAAAAGGCTTTCCCCCATTTAAGCAATCCTATCCAATATATCTATACTACGAAAAGTGTAATATGCTAATTAGACCAGATTCACCCGCCATCTTCTGAACATCTGACTTCCTTCTGGACAAACCCATTGTGGTGGTGGCCAAGGCAGAGGACATTAGGGGAAATCAGGCTGGCAGGGGAGGGCAGTTAGGTGCCATCAGGCAGGCAGAGGCAGTTAGGAGCGATCAATCTAGCAGGGGAGAGCACTTGGGGTGATCAGGCAGGTATGCAGAAGCAGTTAGGGGCGATCATGCAGGCAGCCAGGTGAGCAGTTAGGAGCCAGTGGTCCCAGATTGAGAGAGGGATGTATGACTGTTAGTTTTGGCCATATTTCTGTTGGTCCCCAATGGGGTCCCCGACTGGAGAGGGTGGAGGCTGGGCTGAGGGAACCTCCCACCCCCGCACCCATGCACTGGACCACTTGTATAATATAATGATATACACCAAACATGAAAGAAAGATTACCTGTGTATAGCAATAGCAAGTTCTACCTGTTCAAAACCATTTCCACAGCACTTGAAAAATTATATTTAGAATTTTCCTTTTCCTATATATAAACTTAAAATATTTCCTTAGGGAAAAATATGTCAAGGTAGTAAAGTAATTTCCCAGGCTATAAATATCTGAATAAAGTAGTGTCTCAGCATTTACAGAAAAGTAAGAATTATATCTGTTAATGAGTGTGTTGCATTTTTATTAAATGTGTTCATAAAAATATTTTATATGAAAGTCTGTAGTAATACAAACAAATCCAACTATTAGTTAAAAAAATGGGACATATCTATTGCCTCTAAGGAATATGTCACATTACATAATTCTCAATATATTTTTGCCTCTAAGGAATTATACAAGATAAGTAATATTTTGGCACTAATTCATCAAAAAGATGGGCAAAATGTCACTATACTATCTTATTCATGTATTTAACAAGATTTTTTTATAACTAAGATGTGACATTTTACTTTTGCATAGCCTAGGAATGCATTCATATATTCATTTTTATTTTTACAATGCACATATATTTTACAATACTTTAATAACAAAATACAAATAATTTAAAATTCTCAGTGTATATATTAAAATGACCTTAACATTTAGATTGAAATCTATTGGTTCCAATCCTAAAATTGGAGAAAGAATGAGAGATGAAATGTAAACAAACTCAGAAATATCTTCCTATAAAGAAAAATGTAAAAAAAAAAAAAAAAACCCCTCAAAACTTTTTTATCATATCAATAGCACAATGGCTATTGTCCCCTGGGGAAGTTTTCTCACATGGAAAACTTGATAGTCCTAACTTGAACTGCGTAAAAAATGGTCAAATTGGAAGCGAAGTAGAAAAGTTTTGCTTGTAAATTCTCAGGTAGCCTTAAACTACTTTAATTTCCTAAAGACTGATTATGGTTAAGGACAATTTACAGGACTTCAAACCAGTATTTGGTATTTGCATGTCAAGGATAAATGTGAATTTTGAGGAATAAACACATTCTTTTCAAGGAGTTAGAAACTACTGATAATAAAGAGAAACTTTTTCCTTGACTGTTATCAAAGGCAATTAGCATTGATGGTACAGGATTTTGTATATCCACATTTTAAAAATATTAGAATATAATAGAAACCAAAAAGGTCTGAAATGGAATTTCCAAACGCAAAATATAGACTTACTGGTACATGCCATTGAAGGTGGGTCTTTTTCAGCTCGGAAGTAACCCTTTTCACACTGACAGACAGAAGTTGCTTCCATGTAGGTTAAGCTGTGTGGAGGGCATTTAGAACATTTTGTGTTCCCAGCAAATGCTTTATAGAATCCCGGTCTGCAAGCTGTAACAATAGAAAAAAATTTTTTTTTATTGCTAGAGTTCTTTGATTTTTACCTGTACAACATGTTTTAATGAAATACACTTTGAATATCAGAGTTTAATGTCACATATACCATACACAGAAAAGTCAACATATGTTAATATTAATGAATTAAATTATTCAAAATTAGTAACACAATGGTGGCTTCACATTTTACTCAAGGCAGCGAATGTTTAAATGCATATCTGAAACATACATACACAAAACAGCAGTGCTGATCAGTGTGGGGATGTCTGGAAACACACATACACAGAACAGCAATGCTTATCAGGGTGGGGATGTCCATAACCAGCAGAAAAGGAAATCATTTGTGGAGTCCTGAGAGATGGCCCTAACTCACATTGATTCACGCTGTTAAAAATGTATTTATGTTCCATTTCTTCCTCAGTCCTTCTGGACTCTCAAGGAGAAAGTCTCAGGGTGGTGCTTGGGTATCTTTAATACCTTTCTTAAGGGCTAAAAAAAAACCCTTTTAACAAAATGAGAGCTGGCCTTATATTCAGAGACCTTAGCAAGCAAGATCCAGATATTGTTTTGATAACTATATTGCTCTGTTTTTAATCATTTTTATTTATTATGGCAAACAAGTGTTGACCCCGAGGAGAATATACCTGCCAAGAAAGGCTCCATATGGTTAATCAAGCCCAAATTTATAACCAGAGTCCAGCAGCCGTTGTTTACAGAGGCCTCTCATGCACACTGTGAAAAGCCACAGAGTAACCTGCTGAGCCTGCTGTCCTGTGCTCCAGCCTTCTGAGTAGACCCTTGTGAGAGAGCTCCTAGGATAAAAATGCTGCCAATAAGACTGAGACTTTCCCCTTTCAACCAGAGCTGTGCATCTATATCCGCATTTGCATTTCACCAACCAATCAGAATGGCTCCATTCTGACCAATGAGGATACTGCTATTTGGACCAAGCAAACTATATTTGGAGGTCTCATTTGCATAGGAATGGACCAATCTGGGACAAGGTGCGGAAATCTCCCCTCTGTCTCTTGGAGGACAATTTCAGTTTCCATTGAAAACTGTGTTTCCCTGGCAGAAGCTGTAACACTGGGGAGGAGCTGTCTGGCTGGGCACAGTGGAGCTGTGTTGTCTGAGCAGAGCTGTGACGTGGGAGCTGTGTCACTGCAGCCTCCTGGTGTGGGCTACCTCAAACCACCTGTGCCAAGCTGTGCTGTTCCATCTCCATGCTGTTAAAAACCAAACTGTTTCACAATTGATTTGTTTTGATTGAATAAAGTCTCCCTGTTCACCAAACCTCAAGTCTGGGAGCTTGCTGATATTGAATTGGCAGTGAGGACTTTTTAGTCACATAACTTTGCTATTTATTATATTGAAATAAATGCACTTTAAAATTTTAAATTAGTAACAAAGTGAGTAGACAAATATTAAATAAATAAGTTATATATGCTGTATGCATATGGCAAAAAACATAAAAATGGAATGCAGATGACTAAATTTTCACCAAAAACCATGAACATTAAAATGTAAATGAGTGAAGTTATATGATGAAAAGTGTTGTTGATTTATCTTTGCTTAAATCCATGTTATTTTTAGAGTACATTTTTATAGGAATGGAAAAACCTAGAAAAAAGGTTCCTATGCTAGATGTACACCCAAAGGTTAAGAAATGTAAAAAGGCTTAGTTCTATTTGGTCTTAGAGAAATCATTGCTGGTCACTTTCTAAATTAACACTATCATACAAAATTAATTTTCCAGTGACATATATTATGTTAATAAATGTTTTAACAAACTACTGATTTTATAACAACATATTTTCATAAAATGTTCTATTAAAAATATGCAAAAATCCTAATTTAACAGTAATAAATATATGTTTCGGGCTTCTGCTTATATATTGAGGACAGAAAAAAATAACTGCCATTAATTTTTTGAAGTAAATTTGATTCCTACCTAAATGAGTCAAAATAAAATAACTATTTTGCTGTAGTACATACGTTGATGAATATTTGTACAAGTCTAAATGAATGCAATTCTATTGATACTAGAAATATACTATGTACTAGGCATGGACACAAACACACACACATTATAACTGTGTTATTTTTGATAGTTTATGTTTGCTTTTATAAAAGTACTTCTTGTAAATGATCGAAAAATTAAGGAGAAGTAGAATGATCAATTCTCTATGGTAAAATTACTATTAAATGATTGGTTAATCAATATCTATTAAGCTGTGACTGCTGGTACCATAAATAACAATAACGCAGTTTCTTCTGTAACTTGGTCATAAATTAATACTGTATGGCTAATCAATAAAAACACTATCATTAAAATATTGAAGCAGGAGGTTGACCCTCCAGCTGAGGCCTTGGCAGCCCTGCAGCACAGGTGTTGTCTTTGGGCCTGGCCAGGCCTACTCCACTGTGGATGCAGGTGGGGCAGCCTGTGTGGGCACAGCACCTTCACCTAGGCCTCAGGGAGGGACGCTGGTGCCAAAGGTGAGCTTCTCCTCAGCTGAGGGTTGGGTTCACTGGTCCAGGAGCCTCTGGCCCCTGACTCAGCCTGTCAGGTGACCCAGCTGCAGTCACTTAGTGGGAGCCAGCTGCACCTAGCCTAAGCTCAGGCTTGGAAGGGGTAACAGATGGTGGTGTTGGGGTGAGGGAGAGTACAAGGGAGAGGGGTGTGGCAGGAACAGCACAGAACAAGAACAACAAAATAAACCGGAATATGTAAGATTAAATACAGCAAAGGCAGAGGTAAGGGAGATGGAGTAAGGGAAGCTTTTTACAGAGTTTGGGAGCGCGATTCTTTCTTCCCTCCCTAGGCTGCTCCCTCTGGAACAGGCATGAAGGACCTAGTGTTCTACTAGCAGCTTTTTTTTTTTTTTTTCCTTGAACATTCAGAGATTAAAAAAATAAATAAAAATACAAAAAGCAGTCGTTTCCCCTGGACAAAGAGCTTCTATCTGCTTGGTAATCATTTTAGGATTTCATGGGAATCTTGTCTTGGAAGGACCTTCATACTCAAAGTGCCTTTCCCAGGACCAGTAACATCAGCACCGCCTGTTCTAAAAGCATCCCTGGGCTCTCCAGACCCACTGAATTAGAAACTACAGTTATAGACGACTCCCAGGAGGCTGTGTGCACAGTGTATTTGAAAAGCTCTAGTCTACAATACTGGTTCTTAATTCTGGCTGCGCATTAGAAACACCTGAAGTTATGGGTTGACAAAATTGTTTTTAAATAAAATAAAAACATATTTCTCTAAATATGTCAAAATGCATAGTACATAAATAACATATAATTACCCCACTAACATTTTCATAAGAATTTCTAAATGTAATCTTATAACAGTAGTTATAAGACAATGTATTTCCTAAGCTATTCAACAAATCCAGTTTACATATATTTCATTAGTAATATCATTATTTTCTACTTAATTATGTGGTTCAAAATAACTAAATATATTTCATAGTATACATTTGTAATACTTTGCCAAATAAAAATGTTGAACTTAACTATAAATTTAAAGAATATAGCTAATCAATTATAATATTTACTAGAAGCCCAGTGCATGAATTTCATGCATGGTGAGTTGGCAGGTGATCAGGGCTGATCAGATTCCCCACTTTCCTGCCTCCCTGCCTCCTCCTTCCCTTGTCACCTTGCATGCCGCCACTGTGCGGTTCTCCACCTTCTTGCCTCCCCACCTTCTCCTTCCCTCACTGCCCATGTCCACTGCTACCCACCCATCCCAGCTTGGGTCCCACCTCAATCAGGTGATCAGGACCTGCCGACTAGGGGGAAAGGCCAACCACCACAATGGTGGGCAGGCAGTGAGCAATTGGGGAGGCACAGGGGGAGGGACCCAGGAGGTTGGCTGCTGACCCTGAGGAGGGAGCTGGCCCTCAGACTCCTGGAAAAGGGGTGTCTGCCGCCACCCACCCTCGGTTCCCTGTCCCAGGGTTTGGGGCCTCTGGACTTGGGGAAGCTCCTGTGTTGAGTGTCTGCCTCCTGATGGTCAGTGTGCATCATAGCGACTGGTCTTTCCAGTTGTTCCATCATAAAGGTTGCTTAGGCTTTTATATAAATAGATAAGCATATTGCACCAATCAATTTAGAGAGAATATACAAATTTAAAATGGGGGCTTGCATCTGTAAATTCCAATGTTATTTGAGATATAAGTTAAATATTATAAAGGTCATTTAAGACATTTTATGAAAAAGAATTGCTAAAAATAAATTTATTAGGAATATATAGGCTATATGATTGAAATTAAAGTTCAGAGGAGAAAAATACTGTATGATCTCACTTATATGTGGAATCCAAAACAACTAACCAACAATAAACACTAAACTCACAGAAAAAGAGATTAGATTTGTGGTTATCAGAGGAAGGATGGGATGAAGGAGTATTAGAAGAAGGAAGTCAAAAGGTACAAAATTCCAGATGTAAAATAAATAATTACTAGGAATATAATATACAACATGATGCATAATTAACACTGCCTATGTGACATATAGGAAAGTTGTTGAAAGAATATAATATACAACATGATGCATAATTAACACTGCCTATGTGACATATAGGAAAGTTGTTGAAAGAGTAGAAAGTTGTTGAAAGAATTTTAATAAAATATATTTTTTCCTTTTTTATTTTATTTATATAAGATGTTGGATGTTGCCCTAACCAGGTGTTTGGCTCAATAGATAGAGCGTCCGCCTGTGGACTGAAAGGTCCCAGGTTCAATTCTGGTCAAGGGCATGTACCTTAGTTGTGGGCACATCCCTAGTAGGGCATATGCAGGAGGCGGCTGACCGATGTTTCTCTCTCATCGATATTTCTAACTCTATCCTACTACCTTCCTCTCTGTAAAAAAGCTATTTTATATATATATATATATATATATATATATATATATATATATATAAATTTTTTTTAAAGATGTTGGATGTTAACTAACCTATTGTGCTAATCATTTCACAATACATGC